GGGAGCAACTAATTTTTAAATTGTTTTATGTTCAGCAAATGAAGTAATATGTTTAGCTTGAGCTACTAACATCTACACAGCAAAATGATAGTTTTCTTGGTAGAAGGCAAAATCTTGGACTAACACCTTTGAAAATTAAAGACATTCTGAAAAGATTTAAACTGAAAATTGTGCCGTTTCCTAGCACATTTTGGACATCTCCCCGAAGGTCTTGCATGACCATTGAGCAGAGTAAAACCTGCAGACCTGCAAACTGCAGACTTGTTCATTTTCCACTGAACCATCTGGTGCCCTCCAATGAATCTCTCACTGGCAAACTATTTCCACTTGAGAAGGAGCAATGAATGGCACTATGATCAGTTTGTATCTGTTGTTCAAAAAAGTGTATTTTTTACAACCAATTCACTTTCCCATAGCTGTGATTTTAAATATATGTTTAAATGTCTGCAAAAGCTTTAAAGAGAACTTGAAGTCCTGTTTATTTTGCATTCCCACCTAAGGCAATACTGCTCCTAATGACTCTGAGACTCATTTATTTCCTAGGACTCATAGTATCTCGTTATTCCAGGTTGCTCAAAGGAGGAAAGGAGATCTTTAGCAATGGAAGAAAGGGATCCTGCTCTCCAGTCTGATATGCTGTGGGAGCTTCCATTTTGCAGATTTGAATTTTATGTTTATTTTTTTATCTCAGTGTGATGGTTTTAACCCAGCCAGTAGCTAAGCATTGACACTTCCCCACACAGTGAAGAAATCTGTGTGTTGAGATAAACAGTATAATAAACAAAAAGGGAGAAAAACTCCCACAAACTAATGATGTGAAGGCCATCACTGACCACCTTCCACAAGTAGACTAGTAGGGCTCACTAGACTCCAAGCACTGTCTTCCTCCAAGTCCCTTTAGTGCTGATCATGATGTTGTGCAGCATGGAATATCCCTTTGTTCAGTTTGGAACAGCTGCCTAGGCTGTGTCCCTGCTCAAATTCTTGCTCACCTCCAGGGCCAAGGAAAAGAGAAAGCTCTAACACTGAGCAGGTACTGCTCAGCAGGCCAGCAATCTCAGCCAGACCCAGTGCATTCTGCCTCAAATAACATTCAAATTCACACATATTCAAATAACATTCACAGCCAGTCATCAGCAGTGGAGTTGCAGGTGATAGATGGAGGGCTGGTCCAAAATGGAATGAAGCATGAGTTCTGCAAGGCAAGACATTTTTGGGACTTGCACCACATCTGTTCTTCCCAGCATTCTTGTCAAGTGGATAATGTAGTATTGATATTTTCACTATTAGTCTGGTTGTTTCCTATTAGAAAAGAAGGAGAAAGAAAACTTCTGTGTCCCTTGTAAGTAATTTCATTCTATTGAACAAGAGTGTTTAAGGGAAAAAAGTCATGAGCTGTGGTTCATAGTCTAAAATCACTGATGCCAGCAGTTTCCAAACCATTGCTTTGATTGTTTATTTAAATATGTAGGTTATTTATCTGTGTGTGGAAGGAGGCATTGTAGAGCAAGATAGCAAGCTAAGCAATTAAAATTATTATCTCCAGTTCTTTTTTTTTGTATTTTGTTGTTATAATTAAATCACTAGAGCATATTACTGGGAATATATTGCTAATAGACCAGCAGTGTATGCATCCTTTATTATTTAAAGGAGATATATATATATATATATATATATATGTATATAAAAATGGGAGCCCCTGGTGGTCTAGGGGAAAAGACACTGCACTGTCACTGCAGAGACTCGGGTTCGATTCCCGGTCGGGGCCCCTCCCCGGGCAGATGGAGCTCGTTAGCCCGTAAGGCAATCCATCTACGTCCTGAGGACCTCACTGCCACCGTCCAAGCGTGCTTGGCCCCGGCAGATGAACCTCAGGATTAAAGGGTGGGCTCAGTTCTGCGCACACTGTGTCTCACCTAAAAAATCCAATGCG